CTCCGAAGTGTGCAGGCGTCCCTGGGGGTTGTTGGAGACCCAATGGGGGGGGATCCTCGGCGCCGTCCTCGGGACCTCCCAGACTGCCTAGAGGGTAGAGGGGCACTTCAAGCTGCTCTAGCGGGACCGTTTGGGCCTTCCTGGGGCGACCTCGGGCGCCTCCTGGATTGCCTCGGGCTTCCGAAGGCCGCACAGGCGAGCACCGAAAACATTATGCGAAGACCTTGCACTGCACGTTTAATGTGTTCGTGCCCCTTGATGCCGTCCTGGGGTCCTCCTGGGGCCCTCTTGGGGCCCTTTTGTGGAGCCTTGGGAGCGGCGGCAACACTTTCCTGCGAAGGGCGGGGGTCCCCACTGCCAGCAGGCAGTGCAAGACGACAAGGGGGCACCACCAGACACCCCACCTTCCGGACCCGCGCGCTTGCAGACCCTCCAGCGCCGTCACCCCACGCTGCCCAAGCCTTCTCCAAGGCAGCCAGAGAGCCTCCTCATCCCAAGGGGGGGGAGGAGGAGAAAGAGGAGGAGGAGGAGGAGGAGGAGGAGAGGGAACATCAGGACGCACACTCAACGATTAGGAACTTAAGCAGGCGGCTCTGGCTCTGGTGGCGCAGCACTACCGCCCCGCCATCAGGCAGGGCACGCGGCACAACGAGGGGTGGGGCGGAAGCGGGGCGGCACCCCCAGCGCCGACGGGCGGTCCGTGGCGCGGGCGCGGGCGCGACACTCTCTCCGCGCGCCCCTCACTCTGCCATCTCCGCTCCCTCCGCGTCCCCCAAGTGCAAAAGCCAGAAAGGGTGCCACGAGCAACATGAGGCAAATCCCACCAGCTGTTCTCTTCCATCTTCGACAACCCCGCCTTCCTCGATCGGGGAATGAACTCATCACTGTTCCCTACCAGGCCGCACCCTCTCCCGCACCCAAACGACGACGCACCTCGGACAATGAGGGCGCCACCCCCGCCGTCCCTGCGGAGAACAACGCAAAATGCACAGTGCGGCAAGGTCTGGACCGTGCGCGGGCGCACCGTCGGCACTGCACATCGGCTTCTTACAAGGAAGGCAGGGGTGCCCTCGTATTGCCCGCTCCGTGCAGGCCCACCATCCCTGACATAACACAAGTTACCGCCAAATACGGAGCATGCGCGGGCGACCCGCGACAACTTTGCTCTGGATCTGGACAGGGAAAGCGGTGGAGCCGTCACGAAATCTGTTTTCAGCAAACACAGCAGCCCTGCCAACACACAATTCAAGGCGCACAATAAAACCAAAGCTGTTTCGCGCGCGGGCGCCCCGCGAACATTTTGCATGGGTGTTTTGACGGAGGGGGGCGGCGGTTTGTACCTTCATATTGGCTGTTTTGCGCATGCCCACGATGCTTGGCAATGTCAGTCAGAATCGACCCCAAACAGCGTGTTTCTACCAGTCTATGTTGCGAAATCTCGGCTGAGCAATGAAATGTGGTGCTTTGCACGTGGTGCAGCAAATGTTGTGCAATACACGTTGCGCATCACATGTTTTGAAATAGTTGTAGTGCCGTCTGTTGTGCAGTATTTACCTGTTACGCGTGGTACAACAGATGTGCCGCGACTACTTGCGAAAACCTTGGAGGTGCCAATTCTACTGCGCGCGCACAATCACCCCATCCACCCACCCACGAGTAGTTTGCAAAACCCACGTGCCGGCGATTGCGATGGGTGTTTCGTGCTAGTTGGCGCATCCCGCGCCTGCTCGCGCGCACAACCTGACCGCTGGGTACTTCCCAACGGGTACTTCCATGAAAGTCGGTGATTTGGGCGGGCGCGGTAAAGTGGCGATTTTGACAACGGCAAACACGACAAAGATAGTAGAAATGGTGGTGGCGATTATTTATGACGATGATGGTGGTGGCAAGGCCACTGACGGCGCCGATGGTGATCACGCCGATGACGGTGACGATGTCCCCGCGTCGTTGATGAAGATGTTGGAAAGAATTCAATATGCGCGCGCGGCCGACTCGCGCGAGCAACCCGCATGGTTCTATGCGGCAAGAATCGCGCCCCGCCTCCCCCCCCAGCACGCGCGCAAGGGCGTTCGATTTGTTTCGGCACGCGCGCGGGACAAGACCTCTTGGACGATGTTGATTAATTTGTTTGTTTGTTGTGTTGTTGTTTGTTTTTTATATAAATGGTGTTGAGGAATTCGCAAGAAAGCGCGCACAGACCTTTTTTTGTTGAAAACTGATGTTGCGCAAAAACATTGTTTGTTATATGCGTTCGGGAATCACTCGATATTGAAATCCCAACGAACCCAAGGTTTTGAAGAATGTCGGCATGCGGGCGCAACGACGCGCGCGAACGTCGCCCAGTTTTCTCGGCAAACGGTTCTTGCGACAATACGCGCGTAAGGACTTTCGAATGATTTTGACATGTGCGCGGGCGGGGCGCGCTTGGTAGCAGTTAATGAACATGTTGAACATGCACGGGTTTCTCCGGAATTCACACGAACGCAAGCGCAAGCAATGT